GCATTCAACCCATCATCTAAAAGATGCAACTTGTGCTTATGGGAAAAGTACTTTATAATATGCAAATCCCCCATGGCTACCTTAAACAGGAGAAACGAACTTATCACAGCTTGTAGACATGCTAACAAATATCTCTTAAAAAGCTTTGTATCATAGGCCTATCACCCAACCAAACTCTAGTGCAATTTACGACCATTATAAAGTTTATCATTCATTGTCATTTAATCCTTTGTTAATTACTTAATGATCACAGTGTACCGCTGCCTTTCAACTACCGAATTTACTCTGCACATGCTCAATCTTACAATTAATCAATCTGTGATAATCTTTAGTCATTAGACTATTTTATCTGAAGAGTGCTGCACCATGTATGTGTAGCACGAAACTAAATAGTAATAAATATGTCTAATCAAAACTACTGTTGAACCTCTCATTTTTTGCGACTAATTCTATGGTTGTTTCAATTATTTATTTCGTTGATTCACCAGAATTATATAATTATTTTATTTAAAGGAACAAAAAAGGTTTAATTGAATGATAGATTGATCGATATGTCATTGCATTTTATTTTAAATGTTATAACTAACATGTAGATATTTGGATACTGATGAACTCTGAGAAATAAAAGTGGGATGACGCCACAAAAGACAAAAAAAAATGTTTTCTCCTAATTATAACAAACGCATTGTTAAAGGCCTATCCGCCCTGTACATGTCAGAATAGATGTAAGTCTCCGTACCATCATAGGTGCTACAGTCATCACCTGTGTATCCAATGAGACAGGTACAAGTGTACGTATCCGGATTGGTGTAAAGTGTGCAATGCTGATTACTTGAACACGGGTTCAATATACAGGCTGTAAAACAAAATATTTGAGCCTGACTCCTGATACATCAAATATGTTTAGATTAGTGCACGAGTTTGACTCCATGTTTAAACTACTGCATTCGTATAAATTTAATGTACTTGTTATACTTATTGACTTGCTTTTAATTTAGGTGTTTTACATTCCAGCACATATAGGCCTACAACATAATTGGAGTTGAATATCTTGCTGGTTACGATGCTTGCCTTTCAATCCCATGGTCCTGGGTTTAGTTCTTGTCATTGTTGCAGGATTTGGTCTCACTATCTTAACAACCTGACTTCCTAAACCTCATATTTAGATTTAGCTTGTGTAAAGCATAGTGTGTGTATATTTGGCTTGTGAAATGGATTGCCACCTACTAGGACAGTGATATATTATTCGGTATTTATAACCCTTAGTACAATTGGGCCTAATAAATAAATACTCAAAATAAAATGTGTTTTGTCATATATTTGTTTATTACCTTCAATAATCATTTATCATAAATAAATGTTTATAAACATATACTCACAATTTCCTTTAGTACAGGTGTCGCCTGAGTAGCAACTAGGACGACTACAGGTGTATCTTGTTGGGTTGGTATACCAGGTAGTTGGACCTGCAGGACATGAGTCACTGGAATAAGCTGTGATTCAAAATATTATTTTATTTAAGTTGTCCTTACTGCATTATTGAATCTTACACATTAAATGAATTAACATTCTAGTTAGATAAGCATTGGCGTCGTTATCTGCTGTAGTATATATGATCTGACAGCAGAAAAACACACCTGAAGCGACACTCAATTTTTGATGTACAGTAGTTTTTATCATCATGGCATCTTACTTTTTGATGCAAAGTTCGTAACGGTTTGGTGATATTTTGTCTTGCGTTTTTCTTTGAAAAAATCCGAAAATATTTGCTGGTGTTTTATTGTTCTCTTTCATGTCACGTCTATTTTAAATCCGTGTATGTTATCACTTTATTACCTGTAGTTATTGATGTGTTAAATTGAATATTGATGCTTTTTAATGTCCTGATTTCTATTTTTTAATGGATATTATAATTATATAGAGCACTGATTTTTTTTTGTAAATGTCTATTTTTAAATTCTTTACAGGTGAACATTTTTAATGGATATTTTTTGCGTTCTATTTAATAAACTTAATATCATTATTATTTACTTTTTATCAAATCGAATTTAATGTAAACTAACAATATGCAAAATACTGAACAGATACATAACGATAATCAAATCAGTAGTTCTTTTTAAATAGTTTTAAATAGTCAGTTATGACAACTGCTTTCCACACAGAGGCCTCCCACAATCGAATTACAGATTAAATTTTATTAAAAAGCTTACCGGTATCAAACTGTAACATTCATTCCCGAACCTATTAAATAACACATAAAAATAGAGTTAAAAAGTTAAAAGTTGCAACTAAATATTTGTTTAAAATCAATCAAATACTCATTTTTTATACTATAATTTCCATATAACAATACAAATTTACACACTTTTTTCCAAATACGAAAACAAAATGTTAGTCTACTAATGGAGGCAAATTATTTTACTTTAATATAGGCCCACTATATTATATATTAATATGTTTCATGGTTAGAACTATTCTTGGACATATAATATATACTGTATTTATAATAAATAATATAAAAAATAATACATATTAATACAAATTAAAAACAAGAAGGGCTGTGGTCATGTATACAGTAATTGTTTAGAGTTAGCTCTATGAGTATCTATACATGGTTAATGCCAATCGACCAATCATCAATCGATCGCTAATAAATAGTAATCAATGAATCAGTCAATCAACTGATCAAAGAATCAATTAAACAATCAACAGTGTAATAGGCTAAATAAATCAACTAAGCAATTTGTCAATCAATTATAATTATCAATTATACAATCAAATACATTTATAGTTAAATAATTAAGCAATGTAATAAATTAATCAATCAATTATGCAAAAATGTCGCATATTCATTCCAAATCTTTAAATCAAATATTACATTTATAGACATACATCAGGCCAAAACAGTTTGCTTGGCGAATGCCGACCAACCCTATTATACGATCGAAGTTTTTCTTTAGCATAATTATTTTCCCAATTAGAAGCTAGTATAAACAGAAAAGAACTTTAATTAATTTATTTATAACACACCAATTGCCCACTGTTGTAACAACAAAGATACACGGGACGAGTGTTTAATAGGAAAGCTGGTATTCAGAGCATAGGTCATAATTAACTATAAATTATCAAAAATGTCCAATACATGAATAGGAGACATCATCGCTAAAAAGGACATTATGTTTTGCTGCTGCAAGAAAACTATGGAGATCCCTTGATTATTGCCGATATCTTGACTGTTCAAGCATGTTAATTAAGTCGTCAAAGCAACGACACAGTTAAGCAGATTCTTTTCCTGTGTTCCAAGTAACTCAAAGTGACTATTAATGTAATAATGATTTTTACCACAAAGTATTCATACTTACAACACTTTATTTACCTTGACTTTTTAAATTATGGATGTCATTGTAATTTTGGGAAAACAAGCTTCTTTTTATAATAGAGAACATTTAAATGAATTAGAGTCAGTTGAGAATGTGCACATGTAGCCGGTACGACATGGATCATTATCAGTACATACTGTTTATAAGTTGATGAATTATATTAATAAATCATAATTATACGTTACACAAAACATTATACGCCTATTTACGTTTAAATAACATTGAATTCTTACTTGTACCATATTGACACGAGTTTGCCTTGTATCCTGTACCGTCACATAGGTACCCAGCTGCTGGTGTTACGAATGCATTGCATGATGAAGGATTTAGACAGGGATTGTTGTAACAAACTTATAAAAATATGGGTCACTTTAATTATAAGCCTGTGTAATTGTAATGTGATTGCAATAGATTGTATTGACTCATTAGCTATAGATTACATTAATACATTATTAAATCATTAATTAGACATCTTTCTGAAATATGCATTTAGACATTCAGATATTATTGTACAAAGCGGATCCTAACTGGTGCAATACAGATATACAGTTGATGCTACTCACTACTACTATGTAGTTGGCAGTTCAAAACAATGGCATAGAAATTATCAGGACAAGTACACGTGTATGTCGCCGCTGCTCGCAGTGCAAATGCCGCCACCTTGACACAGATTTGGATCACAACTTAGGCCTGTTTGTAAGAAGATTAAAATCACATTATTTTTATTTCTGTCATTTTAATCCATGTTGCTTTAATGCATCATAATTATAAATTAAATTATAACGGTTTGTTAAAATATTTAAAGAGGCTTTCGCTATTAGACGTTTCAACCCATTACTTAACAATGGACTGAAAGCATCTAAAGAACTATTATTGTTTACCTAGTTCTTACTTTCAGCTGTTTATTTCATCACATCATTAATCTTGCTTATTGATACTTCATTACTTAATCACCAACACTTAATTCTGAATCTTATTGTCTACATTATTCATTGTTTCTCATTGGTTAATTTTCTGTAACACTTTTGGAATATATGTTTGTAATGTTGGAAATTTATTCATTCCTGATGATATTATTATAAAAGATCGAAATATTGAATCAAAATGACTAGTCTCACTTTATTTGGAGTATGTTTTATACTAAGTTATCTTAAACTTATCAGTGGACCTACTGGTTATTAAAATATTAAATGCAAATAGGTCTAATTATTGATATTATTATTAGTTTACCAAAAGTTAGTTCCTTTTGTAATTCTAATGGTACTAAATATAATGTGTATTGTAATGTAAATATAAATTAAATAAGCATTCATAACAAAAGAATTCGAAGAACAATATCATTTTAAACCAAATTTGTTATTTTACCATCAAAACTCAATTTTTAGGCACTGGGAGCAAAGAATAATTGATAATATTGATATAAACCCATAAAATTTAATACTTGAAAATTTTAAGATAAACTGTTTGCAGAAAATTGAAATAAATTGCAAATACCTGTATTCTCATTTCATTCAAAAACATGCTACAGTGCCCGATAGGATCGAGTCCAGATGAGAAAAAGAACTAAACAATAATAAACTACAAGGATATGATTTTTACATTATATAAATGCACAATCAATACAAAACTAAATTTCAGTTAGGATTTATTTATCGAATTATTTATAACTCTTTTCTTAATAAGATATATATTGTTGAATCACCAATTTGTGAAATTTGCTTAGAATATACACAAGTTTGTTGAATTCAAAGTAATTAATATTCTGTGGAAACAATTACAAGTTGTTATAAAATAAAGATTCAAAAGAATAATAAAAGCATATGCGTTAGTATTATAAACCATAACAATAATCATTCAATTAGCAACATAATATTCATTACAAAACTATACCTTTATGACTGTAAGGTTGATACACAAAAACCTAAAATAAATCACTTAAAATCGGTATATGAGAGGCATAAAAAATTGCAAAATTGCGTTTAAAAATAATTAGCAGAATAATGTAATGTAGGACTGAATTGAAATTGTTTTTTTTACATCATGCAGTTTGGTTTAATTACATATATGAATCGATTTTTTTTATTATTTTGTATAGCTATTTTCAATCGCTTCTGTGAAGGAAAATACGCCAGCGTTTGGGACAGTGTTGCTTCCATATGTGTATAATATTTTGATAAGCAGAACCAAAATCCTGGTATTTTACTTCTTTGTTGTTGTAAAGACGATACATAATATTTATATAAGGTCTTTGTTTATACTATATTTTGTGTGTTTTGTAGTAAATCGCTGACCTGTGCCAGAGTAAATAGTAGGCCTGCATACGTCATCTAGTCCTAGAAGGTAGGCCTACAGTATCATCATTTGACGGAAAAGGAGTAGACTCATTGTCACTCGACCAAAACAAAGTAATGTATGAAAAAATGGGCATAGTAGTAAGAAGAAGTATAGCTGTTCATTTAGGAATGTCAGTTTTAAGTAAGGCGATAAGAAACTTTTTAGGGAACACCATTTCAAGGCCGTAGGAAACAGTTCGAGTCGAGTGGTCCAGTTATGACCGTACTAATATTTTTTGTTTCCAAATCAATAACGTTTGTATGCCAAATTGTTCTTTTGAGGTAACACTGTTTGCTTGGGAGCAGTAGGAAATTAGCGGGAAAAAAGTAAAGAAAAATTTATATTTGGTTTTTCTGAATCAGTATATCATATAGTGTCTCAGAAAAAAAAATCCCCATCTTTAGATCTTGGGCATTTTTTTTATAGCACTTTGAAATTTTGGCATAAAATATCCTATTTTGGACTAATTAAGATGGGGGTAGAGGAAATAAATGTATGTTTTTAGTCACTTTTACATATGCTATGTATATCAAATGTAACAAGATAACTTGGCTAAATAGTTACTCTTTACTCTCGTCAAAAAATTTAATCGGAATGATGGTGGTCATCACATAAAATTCCAAGATGGCGGCCATTTTGGCGATAAAATCTTTTTTAAAATGTAAAATTCACTTTGTATCGACAGTTTGGCGAGGGTCAGACTTTCAATCATAAGGTCGGGGTTTCGAGTCTCCGCTGTGCAAATTCGCTTGTGTCCTTGGGCAAGGCACTTTTAGCTACATTGCTTCAGTCCACCCAGCTGTATCGATAGGTACCAGCAATCTCCTGGGGACTAACCTGCGATGGACTAGTGTCCCGTCCAGGGGGAGTACAACTCTCATCCGCTTCACACTGCAGAAACTTATTATTGTCATCATAGCTCCAGTCCTATGAGCCCCGGTGGCTCGGAAAGGATTTAGTTAGTAGTTAGTAGTATTTTATAATGTGCTAGATGTAATTCCAGAGAGGTTTACACTCTGGCTCTACATGTCGACATCCGAGTTAAAGGTTCATGAACACAGTGATAAAGATAAAAAATCACATTTACTGAACCATCTTATATAAGAATAAAATAATAAAATGTTCTTGAGTTAATAAAAATGTAGAAATTCATTGAAGTATCATACACATTTTATACAGGGAAATTTTGGAAATTTTGGAAATGTCCTGAAGATTGGCTCAGTGCTTCCGAAACATGTTAAAATTTTTAATAATCATTTGATATTTTTTGTGCTTTCTTTAGTTACGATAATTGGATCTATTAGGCTATTTAGGAATTGCTTATTATCAACTAAATATCTATGTAGTTTAGTTTATCTACTGTATTAATG